ATGCAGAAGGCTAATTACTTTCTTTTTGCAATTTTGTTGGTACAGTGTCTAATGGCCTGCAAAGCCATGGCAACAACAAATATTACTACTGATCAATCTTCTCTTCTTGCCTTCAAAGCCCACATAAATTTAGATCCTTCACATATTTTATCGAAAAATTGGTCGGTTGTTACTTCTGTTTGTGTCTGGATTGGAGTTACTTGTGGTCCTCGCCACCAAAGAGTGACTGCCTTGGATATTTCTAGCATGAATCTTACTGGAAAGATACCTTCCCAATTGGGAAATCTATCCTTCCTTGTTTCTATAAACTTAAGCAGAAACTATTTTCATGGCAGTGTTCCTCAAGAGCTGATTCAACTCCGACGGTTGAAAATCATGCAATTCAGTTTCAACAATTTCAGCGGCGAAATTCCTGCATGGCTTCATTTCTTACCTAAATTACAAGTTTTGAATCTTAGAGAAAACAGCTTTTCAGGTTGCATCCCACCTTCTCTTTCTAATATATCCATGCTCCAGTTTTTGGATCTCTCTTCCAATCCTCTACAAGGGAAAATCCCAGAAGACGTTGGAAATCTTCGTAACTTGAAAACACTTGCATTACGATATAACAGACTCACTGGTGTAATACCTTTGCAGGTTTTCAACATATCGACAATGGAAATTCTTGCTTTTACAGGGAATAACTTGACTGGTAATCTCCCTCTTCAAATATGCCATGGCTTCCCAAGACTCCAGGGGCTATATCTATCTGAAAATGAATTCGGTGGTGAAATTCCTTCCAATCTATCAGAATGTTTACAACTTCAGATCCTTTCTTTGTCATACAACAAATTTAGTGGATCCATTCCAGGAGAAATTGGGAGAATAAGGATGCTTCAGATTTTATATCTTTATTCAAATGATTTGTCCGGTAAATGAATCATGATTGATTTTGCATTAGTACTATAGTTTTTTGTTTGAATAGATCAATTGCTAAAGATGAGGTCTCTCATTCTGATTTTGCAATTTGACAGGTGCAATTCCACATGAGTTGGGTAATCTGGAGAACCTCAAGGAGTTGAGCATGGGACTTAATTTTCTTAATGGTTCTATACCAGCCAGTATCTTTAACATTTCGTCATTGCAATTTATTGAGATTGCTGAATGCAACCTATCTGGTAACTTTTAATTAGATTCAAAACAACTTTTGCGTTTGTCCTTTGTATGTTTATACAGAAATTTAAAGAATGTTGTTTCTTTTAAATTTTGAGAACTTTATAATTTTGTAGGTGTAATCCCCCAAGAGAATGGCACTCTTTACAACTTGGAGCGTCTTTATTTGGACAGCAATAACTTAAATGGACCAATTCCAAACTTCCTCGGGAATTTGAGACTCATTGAAAAAGTATACTTGTCTAGGAACAACTTCATTAGTAAATCTCCAGAATTGAGCTTCATCACTTCATTGACAAGCCATAGATATTTAACAGAATTGGCTTTTGGCGATAATCCTTTGAATGGCTTTCTTCCAGTTTCAGTTGGAAATTTATCCACTTCTCTACAATATCTTTATGGTTATAATTGTGATCTCAGAGGTAGCATTCCAAATGGAATTGGCAATCTCACCAGTTTGATAAAGTTAAGTCTGTTTGGCAATGAGTTGACAGGGTCAATTCCAGTAAGCCTGGTGAATTTGCAAAAGCTTCAAGGATTAGCTCTTCGTCTCAATAAAATAAGTGGATCTATCCCGGACTCTCTCTGTGAACTTCACAATTTATATCTATTGTCATTGGCACAAAATCAAATAACAGGTGCTATTCCAAGGTGCATAGGGAATATTACTACACTAAGGCGTCTAGTTATCTATACCAACAGATTGACTTCCCCCATACCTGCAAGCTTGTGGCTTCTGAAAGATCTTCTGAAGTTGGATCTATCTACAAATACTTTGAGTGGGTCTCTACCTCAAGAAATTGGGAACTTGAAGAATGCATTTCTTATTGATCTATCAGTCAATCGATTCTCAGGTAGTATTCCAAGCACTATTGGAGATTTACAGACCTTGAGTAATCTTTCCTTAGCACATAACGCACTGCAAGGATCTATTCCGGAGTCGGTGGGTAAGATGCTGAACTTGGAAGAGCTTGATCTATCTCACAACAATCTTTCTGGTAATGTCCCCAAGTCCTTGGAGGCACTTACGCATCTCACGTACTTGGACGTTTCTTTCAATGATTTAAGTGGTGAAGTTCCTTCAGGTGGTCCTTTCAAAAACTTTTCAAGTAAATCCTTCATGTCTAATGAGGGATTATGTGGTGATCCTATATATGGTCTTCCATCATGTCCTACTGGTAGACAAGAGAGAAGAAAACCGATGCTTGCAGTTGTATTTTCTTTGTTGGGGATTACAGTACTAATTTTGATAGGCACGGCCTTGGCATATGCAATTGGAAGATACCGAAGGAAAAAATTGGTGGAAAATAGAGTAGACTTCGCACCTGGCACAACTCTAAGGGTCTCATATCATGAACTTTTGCAAGCAACTGAAGGGTATAGTGAGAGCCATTTGCTTGGTACTGGGAGTTTAGGCTCTGTCTATAGAGGGACTCTCAATAATGGAA